AATAAATACTTCACAATGTATAATTACATATTGCTTTTGTGATTAATCACTATGCTTTAATTATGTTCAATTTGTAACAATGAAAATACATACTGTATATCATATATTTACATTATGATTCATAACAGTAACAAAATTATAGTTTGAAGTAGCAACAAAATAATGTTATGGTTGGGGGTCACCACAACATGAGGAACTGTATGAAAGGGTCATGGCATGAGGAAGGTTCAGAACCACTGCCGTAGAGGGATGCAGTACTTTTGTCTTCAGTGCTTCATCAATACTGTAACCCTCCTTCTCTGGAAACCACTGTGTTAGTCTGGGTAGACTAGAGAAACAAATTCAGAAACACTGATATGTGTATAAGAAACAGCTTTATGTAAAAGAGCAATTGTCTATTGAGGAAACATCCCAGCCCAATCCAGATCAAGTCCATAAGTCTAATACTAGCCCATATGTCTCAAACCAGTCCATAAATTCCTCTTCTGACTCACACAACACATGCAATGACACCAAATGCAGGAAGATCACAGGCCAGTGGGTGGAAAGTCTTGTGGATCCAGTGGCAGTAGAAGCATCTCAGTGCTGGCGTGGGTCTCCATGTGGCTCCTTCCGCTCCAGGGCTCTGGCTCCATCAGTGTAGCTCTATCTGTCCTGTTAACAGGAATGCATTGCAGGGAGACAAGCAGAGAGTGTCTCCCACCCCCAGGGAGGAATACAGGAGTTCCCAGAATCCTCAGGAGAAGGCCATGCCCACATGGAGGCCTCATTGGCTATGGCCTGATTGACAGGCTAGACTCCACCCCTTTACAAGTTGACAGGAGATTATGTAACTGCCACAACCACTACCTCTCCTTTGGAGGAGAACAAATAGTCCCAGATAAAGGGAAACTGAATGAAGCTCTTCTAAGAGATGGAGAAAAGTGAACAATCATGAAGAGTACATCTTGGATTTATCATTTTCAGCGATCAAAACTGTGTAGCCATCAAGCTGATTACAATTCACAGTGACAAGCTACAGAGCAGAGAACTGCTGCTTCATAGATGAAGACTTTCTTTTTTCTGTGGAGTGGCTTCTGGGTTTGAACTACTTTCCTTCTGCTTAGGGCTGAGTGCTCAACCACCGCACCACCAGGACATCACCGTTTTCTAAAATAGTTTCAGAATACAATTGAATTGTTTTACCTTAACTCTCTTTTTCCCTCAGGGACAATTATTTCACTTCTTTTGAAGAGGAATACTTACATTGAATATTCAAAGAGTTAAAAAGGACTACTAATGCTATCCAGGAACCTTGATGGCTAGCTGTTAAGCCCAAGGTCAGAAGGAGATCAGCGGATTTGCAGGAAATGACAAAGACTTCCTGCTATGGTAAAGAAGACTGTCAACCTCAGAAACCCTGCATAAGGGCCTGATTCCGAGGCAATAATGACCACATTTTCCTTCATATTTGAAACACCTGGAATACATATGTACCAAAGAAGGGTAAACTGCCAATGTTTGTTAAATCTTACTTTTATCTGAATTAGTGTAACATTTAAAACCCAGACTATTCTGATGAAATGTTTCCAATGCAAATATCATTAAAATATACATACGTAAAATATACCTTAAATATACAAAATATGCTTTTGTATCTTAGACATTGAGAGTGGGTCTCCCTTTCTCTATCGATAAGTCCTCCCCACCCCACCCCCCACATAAACATGCTCTTTTGTCTTTGCTATTGCCAAGCAGCTATCCCCCAAATGGGCTGCCTGAAGGGGACAAGAAGTGTTCATTTACATGTTGCTCCTGGATGCTGTTTCTGTTTGAGGAGTCTTGGTGGTTCGTGGCTATCGCGCTGCCAGCTGCAATGTAAGCAGTTCAAACCCAACAGCTCTGGGAAGAAAGAGGAGTTTTTCTACTCCCTTACAGACTTGGTTCTAGCCTTTCCTGAGTCACTATGACTCCGAATCAACTCATTACTGTGAGTTTTGAGAAAAAGATTCTCTTAAATTTTCAAAATGAATTATAAGAAACACCAATGTAATTTACTTATTTTAGGAGCTCTGGTGGTTGTAGTGGTTAGCGGGTGGGCTGTGATCCACAAAGTCAGCAGTTCAAAACCATCAGCTGCTCAGACAGAGAAAGCCAGGGCTTACTACTCAGTCATAAGGATTTATAATTTTGCAAGGGGTCACGAGTGTAGGAAGGAAGGGAAGGAAGGGGAAAATGAGCTGATACCAAGGGCTCAAGTGGAAAGAAAATGTTTTGAAAAGGATGATGGTCACATATGTACAAATGTGCTTGATACAATGGATGTATAGATTATTATAAGAGCTGTAAGAGCTCTCAATAAAATGATTTATATTTAAAAAGAAGTTAAATCTTGGAAACTTCCTGAGGCAATTCTACCCTGTCCTATAGGGTCTCTGTAAGTCAACATCCACTTGATGGCAATGAGTGAGTGATTCTGCCAAGGCTCAAATGTAATGGATATTTTCTCAAAAAAGTTTGTAGATTGCTGTTCTATGGTCCATGAAATCCTCAAATGTGAACTCTAATACGAAATTAAGTTATATGTGAAGTTCCAGGCTGTCGTCCACCAGGGAACTAGCATGATCCAAATCCATATGGTTTGTTCGTGTCCAGAGATAAGCCTCACTCATACACACAAACACACAGCAGCAGCAAAGACTGAAGCCACAGTCACTAATGGATAAAGTCACTTCAAAAGGAATGAGGTGGCCCCCTGGTGAGTAGGGACCACCTAAGTTTGGGGCTCTGGGAGTGAAGTGGTTACCCCTTCACAATTTGAGAGGAAGATGCTGTCTAGGGGAACCCTTCTAGTTTTTATACCAAATGGGAGGGGTTGCAACTCTACAGACCATCAAGTAACTGGTTACTCAGTTCGTCCTTGGGTCTCATGCATCGTTTCTTTGTTTTATCTGTGCTGCTGCTCTGGGTCAGCATGGCTCACAAGTTTCTTGAATACAGTCCTGTGTTCGAATTTTACTGGGCCCTGGATTCAAGGTTAAGGTGTTTACCAAGCCAGTCCTCAGAGGACTTTGTTCACCATCTTAGCAGACGGCCTAAGTCCCTGCTCTGCCCTGTCATCACTTAACTGTCCTGCCAGAAACAATACAAAGCAGTTGCACTGCAGAAGGCATGGCTGGGAAATTTACTCCCCCCACCCAACAGTTTCATTTGCATATAATTTACACAAAGTACAATTCCATAGCTCAATCCATCTAGAAGAGTTGTACAATCATCACTACCATCGGTTTTGGAACAATTCCTTCATTCTTGTAACTAATTCATTAGCTCCCCACTTCCTTCCCCCCAGGAACCATTAATCAGTTATTTCCCCCTCCAACCATTTTGTGGAGAGCTAATACAGGCGTAACATTTTAAAATAGGGTTACTTCTTGGTAACCACTCGAGAAGCTTTGCATATAGTTTCGAAAAAGAAAACTTAAAAAGCTAAGGCGGTATTTACTAGTTTTGCCCATCACTGGGAACGCTCCCAATTTATCTAGATGGGATGCTGATCACAGTCCAGCCGATAGGCTTAGCCAGGGCCTATTCCAGAGGGGGCTACAAGTCCCAGGTCTAAAATCAACATGGGGCGTTTCCAGACCCCAGGGACGGGCTGGGAGAGGGAGGCTTCACGGCAGGTCCCGGCGCAGCGCTGG